TCACCCAAAATCCCTTTAAAATCCCCAAATCCTTTTAAAATCACCCAAAATCCCTTTAAAAGCACCCAAAATCCCAATAAAAATCCCCAAATCCCGTTAAAATCCCATCAGAATTCCCAAAATCCCAATAAAATCCCCTTAAAATTCCCAAAAACCCCCAAAATCCCATTAAAATCCCATTAAAATCCCATTAAAATCCTGTTAAAATCCCGTTAAAATCCCGTTAAAATCACCCAAAATCCCGACAGAATTCCCAAAATCCCCTAAAAAATCCCCAAAATCCTCCTAAAATCCCACTGAAATCCCCCAAATCTGTTAAAATCCCCCGAAATCCCACTGAAATTCCATTGAAATTCCCCAAATCCCGTTAAAATTCCCAAATCCCGTTAAAACCCCCCGAAATTCCATTGAAATTCCCAAAAAAAGGGGGGGTTTGGGGTGGGGGAGGGGCCGCACCTCTGCGTCGCCGTCTGGCTGTAATCTGGGGAGGGAAGGGTTAAAACAACTCAATTAAAACAATTAAAAATATTCAATTCAAACAATTCAATTCAAACAATTCAATTCAAACTATTAAAACTATTCAATTGAAACAATTCAATTGAAACAATTCAATTGAAACTATTAAATTAATTCCATTGAAACAATTCAATTAAAACAATTAAAACAATTCAATTAGCACAATTCAATTAAAGCAATTCAAACAATTCAATTAAAACAATTAAAACAATTCAATTCAAACAATTCAATTAAAACAATTCAAACAAAACAATTAAATTGAAACAATTCAATTGAAACTATTCAATTAAAACAATTAAGTCAATTAAAACAATTAATTCAATTGAAACAATTCAATTAAAACAATTCAATTGAAACAATTCAATTGAAACTATTCAATTAAAACAATTAATTCAATTAAAACAATTAATTCAATTGAAACAATTCAATTGAAACAATTCAATTAAAACTAATAAATTAAACAATTAAAGAGGTTTTTAAGTGCACAGAAAGGTTCTGAGCCATTAAAACCCTTTTAATTACTTATTTAAATCTAATTACGCTGATAAGAATAAATAATAAATGAAGTTTTAAATCCCCCACAATCTTTTAATTTTAATATTTTTAGTGTAATTAGCAAGTCATTAATAAGCTATCTTATTATAATTATAAAGCACTGTTAAACACTTATAAAATAATTTATATGAAACGCTATTGTACTACATATATTATTACATCATTAACACCAATTAATAGTATTAATTACCGCCCTACTCATCACGTTATTTACCGCAATACCTAATAATAATTACTAATTAAAACGCCCCAGAACCAACTCTTCACATAAACAAGAAACATTCAATTAAACAACATTTTAATTACAAACTCAAGAGCAAAACTACTTTAAAATTAACTCATTTATTAAGTAATTAATTAGTACTAAGGATCTTTTAATGACGAGATTGAGAGCAAAAATCTCTTGGAAACAACTCGTTAATTAAGTACTTATTAATTATTAAAGGAGCGTTTTAATGAGGGAATTAATTACAAAAATACCTCGGAATTGGCTGATTTTATTAAGCACTCATTAATTATTAAAGAACTGTCTTTAATCAGGGATTAAGAGTGAAAATCTGGCGATATTCATCAGTTTTTAATTAGGATAATTAACGCGAAACCTACGTTAAATCCATTTAAAACCGTTTTTACTCCGATTTCTACAATTAAAATAATCCCTGGATGATTAATAAGACTAATTAACATCTCACATCTCCCTAATTAAAACCCAATCAATGCCCGGTTACTGATTAATAAACCGATTTTATTTACGTTTTGTGGAATTTAAAAGCGTTTAATTAACCAAAAACGCGCTTTTAAAACCCAAAACATCGTAATTATAAACCCGTATTTTATAAAAAATTAAATTATTAAAGCACCTTTTTATAAAACTCATTAATTTTACACCATCAAGAGGCTTTTCATTAAAAAAACTTAATTTAACACCTTCAAATAAACAAAAATTAACTTAATAAAAACACAAAAACAACCCTTAAATAGGGAAATCAACCCATTAACGCTATTAAATGAAGCAATAAATTAATTAACGCTATTAATTACCAAAAGGAAGCCTCGAACCACAGAAATAAAACACAAAGCGCCATAAAATAAATGAGTTTTATCGATTTAATGAAACAATTCGGAATTATTTTTGATTTTCGGGCAGAAATTTCGGCACAAAACGAAGGAAAATTTGGGGTTGTTTCACCCAAAATCGCCAAATCCCGGCTGAGGAGAGAAATTCTCCCCCCCCCACGAAAAGAAAATTAATTATCATTAAAAATCACAGCAAAATTTAATTGGAAAAAAGCGGAATTAAAGTCGGATTTTGTTATTTAAACGAGAATTTGGTTATTTCGAACGCGAAGCCGCCTCAGGCTCGGCCTAAGGAAAAGGATCAGAAATTCCGCTTTTTATACCAAAAATCCCCCTCAAAAAGCGCTCCGAGCTCGAGTTTAATTACTGAGGTGTCATAAAAAACGATAATTAAAACAAAAATTAATGATTTAGATATAAAAAAATGAATGGAAGATTTAATGTTCCCCTCGGGCGCCGCACAACAAAAGGGAGGCTCGGGGGTCTGAGGGGAAAAGGTTCGAAAACGTCAAAAAAGCGACGAATTCGTCGATTTCTGCGTAAAATGAAAAAGGACAATTTTGGATTTGAAGGAGAAATTTAAATTTAAATATTGAAAGGTTAAAAAAAAAAAGAGGAGAAATTCTCGACTCCCCTCAGGATTCGCGGAACAAAAGGGGAGCCCGAGGCGGGGGGAGGATTCGGAGGGTGTAAAAACCTGGGTTTTACGTTTAAAACCGTGGAATTTCACCGGAAAAGCGACAAAAACAGCACAAAGAAGCACAAATTTAATCACGAAATTTGATATTTAATTAAAAAACGCTTGAATTTCCCTCAGAAATCCCCAACGAAGCGCGGGGAACCCTCCGGCCCCTGCGCCTCGCGGGCGAGAAACCGCGGGGCTCTTTTAACGCCGAAACCGAGGGTTTAGGGTTTGATTCTTTGTAGCGGAATTGTTTAATTGGATTGAATGCGATTGATTTCGATTTAATTTTGATTTAACGGGAGGACCCGGATGTGTCACTGCGGTAGCGGCGCCGCGCAAGCGCCGCGCGCACAAAATGGCGGCGGTGGCGCAGAGGCAAAACCACAAAATGGCGGGCGCGGGCAAAGAGAGGCTCCCAGAGCCCCTTAAAACACGCCGAAATCGTCTCAAAATCAAAAACAAAATGCCAAAAAAATTCACCCGGGATTAAAGTTTTTTTGTTAAAATCGGGCGTTCTGGGGTTAATCTTCCGTGCGGCGGCAGGCGCGGAGCATCAGGGCGCGGCGCTTTGTTCGGCCCCCGCCCCATCATTTTTAACAGTAAAAACCCCCCCAAAAGAGCGGCCGAAATTGGCGGTTCGGCCTTAAAATGGAAACGTTCGCAAGGGCGAAGGCGAGGAAATATTAAGAAGAAGAAGCGAAACGAATTAAGAATGAGAAACCGTGAGCGAGGCGTGGCGGAAACGGAGCGGCACCGGCTCACACACGGCGAGCGCTGATCACCAGAAAGCCGCAATGAAACAACGCCTCAACTCCGCCAATTAACGCGGAAATGCCCCCCCCAAAACCCCGTTCATTACAAACGACACAACCACGGCCGCGCCCAGCGCGGCGACACCGCCGGAGCTCCCTCACGATCCGGGCCCCGGCGCTCCCGGGCCGCAGCTGAGGAGGGGCCGGCGGGGCTCGGAGCGGTCCCTCCCCGGGGGTCGGGGGTCCCTGCCCGGGGTGAAGGGGAGGGGATTTGGGGGGGTTCCCCACGGTGCCGGTACCGTTGGAGGCCATGGCGGTGCCGCTGGATCCGCGTCCCCTCCACGTGGCGCCCGCACTGCGCTCCTCCCGCGCCCGCCCGCCCTTTTATAGCCTCGGTTGGCGCCGCCCACCCGCGCGGGGGGGGGGGGGGGGGGGGGGGCG